ATAAGCGAGATTTAATACAATGCATACAGTATACAAAAAACAGAGGGGGCACGGGAGTGAGGAGACAAAGGCGAAACGATCAGTTTCGAGCACGCGCACAAGCTGATCATGACTTAGCCCCAACAGTGAATTTCGCTGCAAGCTGGCTAACACGCTCCAATTTGCGCACCATAACTTGCAAGAAGAGTTGGTCGGTTGGGCCGATGTAGACAGCCTAAAAACGGAGAACAAGAACGTTTCAAGCAAAAGCACACTAAAATGGGAAGGTCTTGCATATAGAAAGCTTTGCAAATGCAGGATCCAAAGCGAGGATACCCTGTCCTCTGGTCTTACGTATTAGTGTGTTCCTAGCATTGAGTGGACACCATGTATACTTCACCAAAAGCACCAATCAAGCTCCCATTCAACAGAGAGATAGAAAATATAGTAGATGAGCTCTTCGACAAAACATTTTCAATTGAGTTAAATATTTAAAACCGAAAGACCCACTGACACGCCAAGAAATAGTTGGAGTCGTCTACAAGATCTGGTGCAGTTGCGGGCAATGCAACTATGTCGGAGGAACTGGCAGACTTATCCCAATGCGAATTGCCGAACACGCGGCAGCAGTGCGGCGAAATGATGCCAATTCTCCAAATTGAGGCTCATTCGAGGAGATCCGGCCACACATTCAGATTTGATGAGGCCGAAACTCCCGTAAGAGGTGACAATCGGATGAGCCGAACATTACTTGAGTCAGGGTTCACAGGACCCCAATCCAAAAATAAGTGCAACGATTTGATCAATCCATATTCAGCGCTGAGACTCAATTTGGCCAAAGCAAGTCGCTACTTGGGGAAAGGAGGGGCTACCGCGTCATCTTACACCAACACCGGAGGGCCAGGTGGCCGAGCAATCATCACACCCGAGTCCACCACGCGTGATGAAAGTTCAGATGGTCAGAGCCCGCATGCTGTTCAACAAACTATCAACGCGCAAGAAGGCGATTACCGTTAATTGTTGTTGTATGTTTGCAGCAATGACTGTATTCTATAAATACTGCAAACTCCTGTGCATAAGGTACCCGTATCTGCCACTGCTCTCTGATGACGAATCCGCGAACGATCTCGAAACGTCAGGCGAATAAAAGTATTGTCCTAGCGATCGAGTCGTCTTTTTCCCAATTAATTCCTGGGGTTCGCATGTTCGCTTGTATTGGCAACATTTAAAAAATATCCATCTCAAACCTAAGGGTAGTCATGCTTACAGTCAATACTGAATCGATCCAAAGGAAAATGAAACGGGACTCCAGCAGAAAGTGATTCAAACAGAATGATTATGCATAGAAGAGAATGGAAGGTGGCTGAGATTGGAAAAAAATGATCAAAAGTGACGCCTACCTTAGAGGCTTGTAAAATGCTATCCAGAAAGTCAAAATTGAGGCGGCGTAAGATATACTTGGCCTGAGCAATCCGATCAGCCTCTTCGGTCTTGGATCGTGCAGCAATAGCAGCAGCAGAGGACAGGGGGGAAGTGCCTAGTCCACTCGCCAAATTACGGCCACGCAATGAGTCTGGATGACTCCACTTCGACACGGCACTGGGCTTTATATCAGCTGCAACTTCAGCTGCCGGATCAGCACCGTCCTGGCTGTCGAAGTAGAACGCAAGGTGTTTCCACAGCAGGTAGATGGCCTGTTCGAGGGTAGCTAAGGGCCATAGGAAGAACAAAGAAGACAACTGTGAGGACAATTTTTCTCCCTTCGTGTTATTACTAGAAAAGGGGAAAAAAGGAACACTGGAGTACACATAAATTGGCATTAGTGGAAATCACGGGGAGGGAGGGGGTTCCTCGGGGAGAACTCAGACCTACCGACAATAGTGACAAGTTGGTTTTGCAAAAGGCTGCTCCCTACACCAACGAGACGTCGTAGATGGATGTGGCGCCGTTCGACTTCGAGTCCGAGAGAACTGCTAAAAGAGACAGAATCCGCAAGGCGCTAGTTAAATCGACAGCTAGTTTTCGAAATTGTGAAAAGACAATAAAACGAAAAAAAGTGTCACAGGGATGCGGTTGTGGGTGCAAACGCAGTACTGACGACCAAAGAGGATGAAGAGGGAATTTAGCTTGCAGAACCAGAGGCGGACGGAGGATCGGCTAAAAGGCCTAGGTGATCAGGACCACCGTTACTAGAATGCTTGCAGTTTGGATGAATAATGAGGATCTTTGAGCAGTTGTGTCAAAGAGCAGAAGTAGATTTCAATTAACGTCAAACATCTGCTGAAGATGCTGCAACTGTTGCTAGTGGGTAGAACACAGTAATTACGTGTGGATAATTTAAATGGGTTTAAAGAGGCGGGGCTCGTGTACGAG